GTCATTAGAGATGGGCAGAAACAAAACTACCAGGTATGAAGGACACACACACACACACACACACACACACCCTGCAACCCAAAATGTGAGGCATTAGAACTCAGTCCTGGATCCAGCACCTACTTTTGCAAATGCATTCTAGGATAGATCTTCAGCATAGATCTTCAGCTGGTGTAAATCAGCGTAGCCCCATTGACTTCAATGCAGCTGCACCAATTTACACCAGCTGAGGATTTGGCCCTCCATCTTTATAATGCCCCAAAGCAATTCCCCTGACTTTTGATCCAAATGTTGCAGTTTGAGTCTATCTCAATATTACAATTATTTGCCCTACCAATTGTATAGCGCCTACATCTCTGCTGGCATACTTGATGTAGAACATGGGTACATAGTGTGTACATGCACAACCTACACACTTCTCTTTCAGCCCCTTTGGACATCTCTGATGTAAATGTCGATACCTTTTTGAAACAGAAGGCTACAGATACAGGGCTCAATACTCATTGAAGTCACCGGCAAAGCACCCATTGATTTGAATGGTGAAGGTTCAGGGCCATGTGGTTTATTCCATGTTTCACCTCTGACTTTTAACATAAAGTTTTAGGGCCTGATCCAAAGCCCATTGGAAGTCAAAGGAAAAACTTTGTATGAATTCAGTAGGATTTGGAACAGACCCTTAATCTTTTGATATTAAAGATATTGGAGCCACATATATTCTGACACTAAGATATTGCCACTCCTACTGGAGGCTTACATTGATTCTGCTACTGCCCCCAAATACCAAAGAATAGAAAAGGGACCATCTTGGCATCACCAGGTTTCTCCGGAATTTGATGATCTTCAGATCTGGGGATTTGGTTTTGGTTTCTCACTTCCAAGAGGAGTTTACTGATTTCTTCACTTGGCTGGAACAGACTCTGAAAGGACACCACACAGAGACATCCCTGTCAGATGTGTTTTCACACATATCCACCCTATGATTAAAACAACAAAAATAACCCCCCCTACACACATTTGGCCCTAAGTTAGCCTTAGCTTTTAAATTAGGTTGGAAAAAGCTCAAAAGGCAACAGCTGTAAAACCATTGTGAAGCAAAATACAAATAAACCGAAATGCAATAAAGCCCAAATGAAATCAGCTCTTCATGTAACTCTGGCAGAGACACAAATGCACACATTGATGGCCAGGCAAGATTGGTGGAGCACTGGCCTGCATATCACTCAAGGCGCAAAGTGACCACATTCTCCTGGGAAGAAGGGAAAGAAAGGGAGCCAGCGTCCTGCGTCAAGTGAAAAATAATCCTGAGTTGCAAGAAAAAGCTTCCAAGTCTTCAGATGGTGAATTATTTATCCGCTGACATGGAACAATGCACACACTGTAGTCAATGTGCAAGATTCCCAATGTGTGTTGCATTAGAAAGCAAAGAGACTTAGTTATATAATTATTCATTTTTCATTGGGGGGAACACGCATGCTCTCCCTCATCTGCTTAAAAACCTGTTATTACCCACAAGGGACTCTAAATGTCCCCAGGAAGCCCCTTTGTAGGTGATTGGTTATTACAATATTAAACTGAATGATGGTGCTGGTGAAAGGTGCACAATTCAAGCCCGGGAATCTTCTCTGGAACCACAGAACCGGTCTAGCACAGGTTATATCTAGGCACGTCTCCCTGGAAAACCTCCTGCAGATGGGCGCCTGTTGCTTTTTGTTTCTTCCCATGTCCATTTCTATATGTCTATATAAAGTATAAGCTCTTATGGGCAGGGGCCCTGTCTTCAAATCAGTCTGTACAGCCAGGGCCGGCTCCAGGGTTTTGGCCGCCCCAAGCAGCCAAAACCAAAAAAAAAAAAAAAAAAAAGCCGCGACCGCGATCTGGGGCGGGAAATTGGGGGGGGGGCCTTCCCCCCCCCCGGGGGGGGGGGGG